TCCCCCAGACAGTGTAAACAGTCCGCGTGCGGATCACTCAGGGGCATCGGCCGCTTGCAAGTGTCACATGACTTAAAGCCCAACCCAGGCACACTACACTAACTCTAAACTAAACTACAGGCAAGTCGCATCTTAGGCGCATTTAACATGCGCGAATTCAGCTTTGCGCGGTCGGCAAAAACGGGGAAAAAAAAGAAAAACAACAATATAAAAACTGCATCTGTAGTGTGGGCGATTCTGCCCGCCATTGAGCTCAATGAGTGTTTCACTATACGCGGTTTTCGCTTTACGCGCTAACCGAGGAACGGAACCCCCGCGTAAGATGAGACTTGCCTGTACTTCAAACGACAGGTACTACTAACTAGGAACTAACAGAGTCCAAGAGGAAAGCTACCGCAAAGCTGGAGCAGAGCAGTTCCGATGCACCTTCACTGGTAGCAAGAAGGAACTGAGGGTGGGAGGAGTGCGCAGTGCCCTTATACTGCGCCATAGCGGCGCCACTCCATGGGTCACTAGGGGCACTCCCCTATGGGTACTGCTAGGGGAAAAACTTCCGGCACCAGTGCACGTGGCGAGCACGCACACCTATTGTGGAATGCACATGAGCAATCACTCGAAGAACTACTGACTCTGGCCACTAGGCTGCGCTGCCCCTAATGCAAGGGCCACTGGAACTGACTCTGGCCGCTTTCTGCCTAGAGCAGTGGTCACCAACTAGTCGATCGTGATCGACTGGTCGATCCTAGAGGATCTCCCAGTTGATCGCGATCTCCGGCAGCACAGTGTGGATGCCGCTAAAGCAGACTCCCTGCCTACCCCAGCCCTATGCCACTCCCGGAAGCAGGCAGTGCAGCCCCGGGGGCAGGGAGACAGGGGTCTCCCTCCGCACGCTGCTGCTGCCTGCAAGCACTGCCCCAGCAGCTCCCATTGGCTAGGAGAGCTGTGGCAGCGGTGTTGCAGAGAGGGCAGCACACGGAGCCACATGCCTCCTGCCGCCCCAGGGGGCCGCAGGGGCGCGTTGGCCCCTTCCGGGAGCGGTGTGGGGCCGGGGTAGGCAGGGAGCTTGTCTTAGCCTCACTGCGTCCGCCACCGACCGGGAACTGCCAAAGGTAAGTGCTGCCCAGAGGGAGGCCGCACCCCAGCTGCAGACCTCCAATGGTCCACAAATAGGGGCCCACTCTTGTGAACTTCTATAGGTCCTATCACAAAGAGCCTGAGTTTCACAGTAGTGCAGCTCCCCTTCTGTTGACTTCATACTGTCTGCAGGACTGAGGCTCACCTGGAAAGGTCAGCTGGCAAGAGGCTTGGGAGTCAGCTGAAGTGGGGGGGTGAGAGAAGCTGCCTGACCCACATGGAGGGAAGTACAGTGAAAGATTAATCCTTTCCCTGCTCCATTGGGCTGCTTCCTCCTGCCCCCATCTCTGTTGAGAGGGTCCAAAAAATGAAAACTCCCTCCCACGCAACCTTGGAAGGTTCTTCAGTCACCTGACAACCAGAGCCCCTTGGGAAGCTCATTGAGGACCCTAATATCCCTCTCTCATTAGGAGACTCCAGGGCAAGTCCTAGGAGATTCCTGGCCCAGGCACCAGTTGGCCCTAGTTGGCATCCCAATAGCCACTGCCCACGCCTTTTTGGGGTCCCCAGCACAGCCTCAGTAGATTTGTCATCCCCTCAGTCTCTCAATAAGCCAAAATAGCCAAGGAAATAACAAGACTTAGACTCATAGACTTTAAGGCCCAAAGGGGACCATCATGATCATCTTGTCTGACCTCCTGCACATCGCAGGCCACCGAACCTCACCCACCCACTCCTGTAATAGACCCCTAACCTCTGGCTTAGTTACTGAAGTCCTCAAATCATGGATTAAAGGCTTCAAGTTACAGAGAATCCGCCATTTACACTAGTTTAAACCTGCAAGTGACCCGTGCCCCATGCTGCAGAGAAAGGCGAAACCCCCCCAGGTCTCCGCCATATGTGGATTCGGGAAGGAATTTTCCCCTGGGTCAGATTGGCAATCAGTTAGACCCTGAGCATGTGAGCAAAACCCATCAGGTTGGGATCACATACTTGTGGGTGATGCTCGACAAAACACCTCAGATATGAGGGGGTGAGTTCCCAATCAACCTCCCAAAACTGACATGGGTCAACACAACCTCCGAGACATACTGCAAGAATCAATAAGGGTTTGCAAAATGCCTTGAAATCCTTGGCTGAAAGGAGCTGAAGACATGGAGCTTACCCTGACATCTTTCAAAAGTTACATTACACATCCCAAATTGTATGTTCTGTGCAACATAAATACACAGAGGCCAGTCTGTCCAACAAAATTCACTCTAAGAAAACATTTTCCCATATACTGTTGTTTCTAGCATACTTTGTAAATGTTTATTTTGTGCATGAAAGCACGCACTCCTTGCACTTTCATTCATCGTTGCAAGCTCTGAAAAAGTCAGCAATGCTTAACATAACTTAACCAAAATAACTTTGTTTTGTCATGTGCCATTAATCATTCTGCAAAGCACTCCAATTCAAGCAGGTCACTACTTTTCTGATCTTTGTTAATTTACAAGAGGATTCCAAGTTATTTCCTTGCTACAAATGTTTTAAACTTCAGAAGACCATCTATATCATCCAAAGATGTAACAGCCAGATCATTGCTGCCACTTTTGGTGTCTTCTCAGGAACAGTATCTGCTGAACAACAGAAGCCACCTAACAAGAATACCTGGCTAAATTTGCCTCCTGCTAAGGCTCATTTGTAGCTAATTCTAAAAACACTGCAGGTCCTGCACTATATTTAAGCTTGGCAGGATTCGATTTAAATGCATTGATGTCAGTAAATGTTAATTTCAGCTGACACACTGAAATCAACAAAAAACATATCCATTGGGCAGTCGGTGGAAGTGCAGCCTCCCCCACGCACTCCCTGCAGCCACAGCCCCGCTCCCTCACTCACCAGCCAGGAGTGCAATAGCCATCCTCAGGCCGGAGCTGTTCAGTAGCAGAGTCGCCTCACCCACAGCCGGGGGCTCGTCCTTGCAGCCCTGATTGCGGGGGTGTGCTCCACCAGACCAGGACTGCAGACTCCCCTGAACATTGTGTCCCAGTGTCTTGGGCACGTCAGCCATAAAGGGAGCCCCTGAAGTCTCGTTGCCAGAACCACAGCTAACCCTAACCTCAACCCTTCCCATCTTCCTTCTGAATTTCCCGCAGCTATAAAAATAAAAATAGTTAAAAATTAAAAAATAAACACATACATTAATCAACAAAACTGCAAAAAATAAAAACAGAATTCTGCCAGCCTAACTATATTTCCTGTTCTCACGTGATCCTCTTGTGGAAAAGGATAGATTGCTACCTGACAGCTTTTTAAACCCAAGGGTGAACTTCTAAACGTTGGGATTAGATACTATCCTAACAGCTTGAGTCTCCAAGATCAGGCTAGAAACCAGACTCTTTTGCTTCCATGAGAGCATTTTTATTCTGTGAATTATAGTACTGCCTAGAGGCCCCAACCCACATCAAGACCCTGCTGAACTACTCCGCATGTACACACAGTGAGAGCCCCTAAAGAGCGAACAGTCTAAGTAGACAAGACAGACAAAGGCAAAACCCCCTCAAGTCTTACCTCTGTCATGACATCCAGCCTGCTGATCAAGGCTAGAGAAGTGACAAGCTGTGTCTATTCTTTCTCCTTTCCTTTTCCTATTCCCTTCCTCTAACCACAATGAAATAAACACATCACCGTCCACATAACGCTGGGCCAATTCTTCACCCCCCTCATTTGCTTGTATGTTGTATCCCCATCTACCCTTTGTCTGTTCGTCTGAAGGGATCATATCTCTGCTGTGTTTGTACATCACCCAGCCCAACTAGTGCTATTATAATACAAATATTTAGTAACAGTAAAAGGTGGAAGAAGAGGATAATATACGTTCCTATTTTGCAACTGGAGGACTGAGGAACAAAGAGGTTAAGTGTCTTGCCCAGGGTTACCCAATTAGCTCAAATCTCCCAAATCCCAGTCCAGTGCCCTAACTTCAGGGGCAGCCCTCCTTATCTGTGGTATGTGGGCACTTCCAGTCTCAGGCCAAGAATACACAGAAATAAATACTATCAGTAAAATCTTCATCCGAATACTTCAGAACTTTCTATAATAGCATGGGTTTGGTCCTAGAGATGGGTGAAGGCCCACAAATGTGAGGCTGCGTTGTCTTAAATTCAATGATTTACCCACTCATTGATTTACCAATGATAGACACACATACACATATACACAGAAAGCATAGACTAGTGCAGCGGTTCTCAAACTTCATTGCACCGCGACCCCCTTCTGACAACAAGAATTACTACACGACTCCAGGAGAAGGGACCGAAGCCTGAGCCCACCCGAGCCCTGCCGCCCCAGGCAGGGGGTGGGGTGGAGGGTGGCTCAAAGCCAAAGCCTGAGCCCCACTGTCCTGGGTTGGGGGGGTCAAAGCCGAAGCCCAAGTGCTTCAGCCCCAGACAGGGGGCATGTAACATCAGACTCGCTGCCCAGGGCTGAAGCCCTTGGGCTTCGGCTTCGGCCCCAGGCAGTGGGGCTTGGGCTTTGACTTTGGCCCTGAGCCCCAGAAATCTAACGCCAGCCCAGGTGACCCCATTAAAATGGAGTCGTGACCCACTTTGGGGTCCTGACCCACAGTTTGAGAACCACTGTACTGTCTTAAAAAAAATAAAAGGTATCCAGCAATCTGACACATCCTCTTTCCTGGTTAGACATTAGGAAAATATTTCTTCCTGGGTAGTTAGACAATGGAACTGTTTGCCAAGTGAGGCTTCTGAGCCCCAGACACCAGCGATGTGAAAGCACCCATCATTTCAGAGCTCCAGCCAGCAGAGCCAAGACGCCTTCTTCCTAAGGCTGCACAGCCCACAAGCACTCCCACACCATGTTCCAGCAGCTGAGGGGACAGGGGGTTTCAAACCTAACTTAACTACCATAAAACAGCTGGAACTTACATCCATGCCTGTAGTTTGTGTAGTGGCTTGGAGGAGGGGTTTAGCCAGCGCTATTTTTCCACTCACTGAACTGCTTCCTGTAGCTGGTGCCAGTACATTCACAGTGTGACTGGACAGCTGCGTGGTCCCTCCAGTGACAGCAATGACCGGCTGGGATGCAGGATGAACTCCAGGAGTCTGGAGCGGCACCATAGTGGACTGAGAAAGCACCAGTGGCTGACCTAGAATGGAGACAGAAAAACAATGGTCACTGAGTGTTCAGTGGGGGATGGGGAATATGTTCTTATACTATCAATTTGTGGAGGGTGGTTTTGATGTGAGGGTAGGGGGGCTTCACTCCCAAAACCACTTGGCACTGCTCCCTTTGGATTCAGTTCTTAAGCATCAATATACTCTCAAACAAAACAAGTCTGCAGGGTTCTATATTTATTCCCTCAATTTCATATCAGTTTATAAACCAAAACACAGCTCTTCCATCTGCCACACCACAAACTTAATCTGGGATCAGATAATCCATCTAGACTTTTTCTGCCTCTTACACCGTAACTGGTAATCAGATTTTGCACTGAGAATTTAGCTGGCAGTTTTGCTACTTATACTCAAAGCAGAATAGAGTTCAGATCACTCTCCCAGAACTGTGCTGGCTCCTCAGGGCTCACAAGAGTAAACACCTGTTGGTGTCACAAGAACAAGTGTGACAGCCTTAAGGAGGCTGTGATCCCTAAGCCTTTAGCACCCATCAACCCTTAACCAGGAGGCGGGGCTACACAGGGAGACCAGGGCTTTAAAAACCCCGCTTCTAAGTGACCAAAGGAGCTAGCGACCAGGAGCGGCTAACAGGGGAGTTTTGTGAGGGAGTTTTTTACAGGGGCTAGAACTCAACTTCCTTTAAACTTAAAAGCCCAAAACACCCCCTTGATATAAACAAAACAACAACAAAGGAACCAGCTGCAGGAGTAAACAGAGAATGCAGGCAGAAGTTCAGCAACAGAGTGGGGGCTACCCAGTTTATTGCACCCAATGCACCATGTATGATTACCTGCCCTATGGGCAGGTGGCATATGTGTGCATTCGGTGCAAGGAGCTCCTGGCCCTCAGAGACCATGTATGGGCTTTGGAGACCAGAGTGGCTGAACTGGAGGAGCTGAGGGAGACAGAGAGGTACATAGATGAGACTTTCCTGGACACAGTAGAATGGTCCCACCCCCGGTCTGACAGCGTCTGTGCTGTTGAGGAGGATGAAAGTCCCAGGGAAGGAGAGCATCTAACTGGAGCAGAGGGAAACAATCCCATAGTTGGGACCCTCCTTCCAGATGATGTTGTGGTATCCTCTCGCACTGAGGATCTCTCTCCAGGGGAGGGAACTCCAGCTATTAGAAAGAGACTGGTAGTAATGGGCGATTCGATCATTAGAAACATAGATAGCTGGGTTTGCGATGACCGGGAGAACCGCATGGTGACTTGCCTGCCTGGTGCGAAGGTTGCGGATCTCTCGAGACATTTAGATAGACTTATGTGTAGTGCTGGGGAGCAGCTGGTGGTCATGGTACATGTAGGTACCAATGACATAGGGAAGGATAGGAGAGAGGTCCTGGAGGCCAAATTTCAACTGCTAGGTAAGAGACTGAAGTCCAGGACCTCCATGGTAGCATTCTCTGAGATGCTCCCAGTTCCACACGCAGGGCCAGTTAGTCAGGCAGAACTGCAGAGTCTCAATGTGTGGATGAGACAATGGTGTAGGGAGGAGGAGTTTAGATTTATTAGGAACTGGGGAAACTTTTGGGAAAGGGGGAGCCTATACAGGAAGGATGGGCTCCACCTAAACCAAAATGGAACCAGATTGCTGGCATTTAACATTAAAAAGGTCGTAGAGCAGTTTTAAACTAAGGGCTGGGGGAAAGCCGACAGGTGCGGAGTAGCACATGGTTCGGACATCCCTTGGGGAGGATCTATTAATAGAGAATCTCTATGTCCTAGTAAGGACGAGAGGATAGAAAATGATAAAATACAGGCAGGGTCTGATCAGAAACAGTCAAATAAAAAAGAGTCCCATTCAATTACATCGTGTAATGGCAGACAGCCAAAAGGAGACAAGTTTTTAAAGCGTTATATACCAATGCTAGAAGTCTAAATAATAAAATGGGTGAACTAGAGTGCCTCATATTAAATGAGAATATTGATATAATAGGCATCACAGAAACTTGGTGGAATGAGGCTAATCAATGGGATACAGTAATACCAGGGTACAAAATATATCAGAAGGACAGGACAGGTCGTGCTGGTGAGGGAGTGGCATAATATGTGAAAGAAGGCATAGAATCAAATGTAGTAAAAATCGTAAATGAATCAAACTGTACCATAGCATCTCTATGGATAGAAATTCCATGCTCTAATAATAAGAATATAGCAGTAGGGATATATTACTGACCACCTGACTAGGATGGTGATAGTGACTGTGAAATGCTCAGGGAGATTAGAGAGGCTATTAAAATAAAAAACTCAATAATAATAATGGGGGATTTCAATTATCCCCAAATTTACTGGGTTCGTCACTTCAGGACGGGATGCAGAGATAAAGTTTCTTGACAGCTTAAATCACTGCTTCTGGGAGCAGCTGGTCCTGGAACCCACCAGAGGAGAGGCAATTCTTGATTTAGTCCTAAGTGGAGCACAGGATCTGGTCCAAGGGTGAATATAGATTTATTGCTTGGTAATAGTGACCATAATATAATTAAATTTAATATCCCTGTGGCAGAAAAAACACCACAGCGGCCCAACACTGTAGCATTTAATTTCAGAAAGGGGAACTACACAAAAATGAGGCAGTTACTTAAACAGAAATTAAAGGGTACAGTGCCAGAAGTGAAATCTCTGCAAGCTGCGTGGAAACTTTTTAAAGACATCATAATAGAGGCTCAACTTAAATGTATATCCCAAATTAAAAAACGCAGTAAGAGAACCAAAAAAGAGCCACCGTGGCTAAACAACAAAGTAAAAGAAGCAGTGAGAGGCAAAAAGGCATCTTTTCAAAAGTGGAAGTTAAATCCTAGAGAAGAAAATAGAAAGGAGCATAAACACTGGCAAATGAACTGTAAAAATACAATTAGGAAGGCCAAAAAAGAATTTGAGGAACAGTTAGCCAAACACTCAAAAAGTAATAGCAAATTTTTTTTTAAGTACATCAGAAGCAAGAAGCCTGCTAAACAACCAGTGGGGCCACTGGACGATCGAGGTGCTAAAGGAGCATTCAAGGATGATAAGGCCATTGCGGAGAAACTAAATGAATTCTTTGCATCAGTCTTCATGGCTGAGGATGTGAAGGAGATTCCCAAACCTGAGCCATTCTTTTTAGGTGACAGATCTGAGGAACTGTCCCAGGTTGAGGTATCATTAGAGGAGGTTTTGGAACAAATTGATAAATTAAACAGCAATAAGTCACCAGGACCAGATGGTATTCACCCAAGAGTTCTGAAGGAACTCAAATGTGAAATTGCAGAAATACTAACTGTAGTCTGTAACCTATCATTTAAACCAGCTTCTGTACCAGATGACTGGAAGATAGCTAATGTGATGCCAATTTTTAAAAAGGATTCCAGAGGTGATCCCGGCAATTACAGGCCTGTAAGCCTGACTTCAGTACTGGGCAAATTGGTTGAAACTAATAAAGAGCAGAATTGTCAGACATATAGATGAACATAATTTGTTGAGGAAGAGTCAACATGGTTTTAGTAAAGGGAAATCTTGCCTCACCAATCTACTAGAATTCTTTGAGAGAGTCAACAAGCATGTGGACCAAGGGGATCCAGCAGATATAGTGCACTTAGATTTTTCAGAAAGCCTTTGACAAGGTCCCTCACCAAAGGCTCTTACGCAAAGTAAGCTGCCATGGGATAAGAGGGAAGGTGCTCTCATGGATTGGCAACTGGTTAAAAGATAGGAAACAAAGGGTAGGAATAAATGGTCAGTTTTCAGAATGGAGAGAGGTAAATAGTGATGTCCTCCAGGGGTCTGTATTGGGACCAGTCTTATTCAACATATTCATAACTGATCTGGAAAAGCGGGTAAGCAGTGAAGTGGCAAAATTTGCAGATGATACAAAACTACTCAAGATAGTTAATTCCCAAGCAGACTGCGAAGAGTTATAAAAGGATCTCACAAAACTGGGTGACTGGGCAACAAATGGCAGATGAAATTTAATGTTGATAAATGCAAAGTAAAGCACAGTGGAAAACATAATCCTGACTTTACATATAAAATGATGGGGTCTAAATTAGCTGTTCCCACTCAAGAAAAAGATCTTGGAGTCATTGTGGATAGTTCTCTGAAAACATCCACTCAATGTGCAGCGGCAGTCAAAAAAGCTAACAGAATGCTGAAAATAATAAAGAAAGGGATAGATAATAGGACAGAAAAATATCATATTGCCTCTATATAAATCCATGGCATGCCCACATCTTGAATACTGTGTGCAGATGTGGTCACCCCATCTCAAAAAAGATATATTGGAATTGGAAAAGATTCAGAAAAGGGCAACAAAAATGTTTAGGGGTATGGAATGGCTTCCGTCTGAGGAGAGATTAATAAGACTTGGACTTTTCAGCTTGGAAAAGAGACGGCTATGGGGAGGTATGATTGAGGTCTATAAAATCATGACTGGTGTAGAGAAAGTAGATAAGGAAGTGTTGTTTACTACTTCTCATAACACAAGAACTAGGGGTCACCAAATGAAATTAATAGGCAGCAGGTTTAAAATAAATAAAAGGGAAGTATTTCTTCACACAACGCACAGTCAACCTGTGGAACTCCTTGCCAGAGGATGTTGTGAAGGCCAAGACCATAACAAGGTTCAAAAAAGAACTAGATAAATTCATGGAGGATAGGTCCTTCAATGGCTATTAGCCAGGATGGGCAGGAATGGTGTCCCTAGCCCAGAGGTGGGCAAACTACGGCCCGCGGGACCCTCCTGCCCAGCCCCTGAGCTCCTGGCCCGGGAGGCTAGCCCCCTCCCCCGCAGCCTCAGCTCACTGCGCCGCCAGCGCAATGCTGTGGGCGGCGGGGCTGTGAGTTCTTGCTGGGCAGTGCAGCTGCAGAGCCGCGGCCTGACCCGGTGCTCTGTGCTGCGCGTTGGCGTGGCTGGGGCTCCACCCAGGCAGCACAGCTGCCTGTCCTGGTGCTCTGGGTGGCGCGGATGTAGCACCGCCAGCCACCGGTGCTCCAGGCA